TCTCTCTCTCTCTCTCTCTCTCTCTCTCTCTCTCTCTCTCTCTCTCTCTCTCTCTCTCTCTCTCTCTCTCTCTCTCTCTCTCTCTCTTACTCTCTCTCTCTCTCTCTCTCGCTCTCTCATTCGCCGCATCCATCTTACAGCGCCGTCATCTCTCTGTCTTGCAGCACGCTGTAGAATCTAAGGACACTAAGACGATCTGCTGTCTGTGCTGTAAGCGGGGACCCGTGCTGCTGCACTGCAGCCTCGAGCGGTCGGCCTACTGCTGCGGAGAGTACATCCGCCTGACGGCCCACGTCAACAACCAGACGCCGGAGAACGTGTGGCTAACGATAAAGCTCCAGCAGGTACGAGAGAGAGAAGGAGGAGGGAATAGAGAGAGAGAGAGAGAGAGAGAGAGAGAGAAGCAAAAAGGGAGAGAGGGAGGGTGGGAGGTAGAGAGCAAGAGCGAGATAGAGAGCAAAAAGAAGAGAATGGCAGACGAGGAGACAGACAGACATATAGATAGAGATATATAGATTGACAGTCACAGATAGATAGATAGATAGATAGATAGATAGATAGATAGATAGATAGATAGATAGAGAGAGAGAGAGAGAAAGCGAGAGAAAGAGAGAGAGAGAGAGAGAGAGAGAGAGAGAGAGAGAAAGTGAGGAGGAGAGAGAACGAGAGGGGGAGAGACAGATAAAAAAAGAGAGAGAGAGAGAGAGAGAGAGAGAGAGAGAGAGAGAGAGAGATAGAGACGCACGCACGCACTCACGCACCACGCGAGCAATGTATAGATTTTATATTCTAGATATACAAGCCTACAGCTTCTTGCGAGCGCGCTCGACCGGCGCGCATACGTGACAAACAGCGCGGGTTTGCATGCGCGCGCCTTTTGTCGTCTCCACTAGAACATGAATGCTATATGCATTTCACGACAAGAATACATTACATTAACAACACCCCGCTTAGCGCGTCTACGTTACATATCTATTCTCATTACACACATCGCCTGATCTGCCGCCCCGCAAAGACGGGATGCAGTCTTAATAGAGAGCCACTCATGTACGTGGGTGTCAGTGAGATCGCTTATCACACACGCAACAGTAATTACAGACTCCTTCCCATAACCTTCGCGTTCGTATATAACCATAGATATATAAAAGCACATGGTCTAACTAGCACTAAGTTCTATCTCTCTCTCTCCCTCTCTCTCTCTCTCTCTAGTGTTAGTGTTAGTGTTAGTGTTAGTGTTAGTGTTAGTGTTAGTGTTAATAATAGTTAGGTATAATGTTAGAAATAAACAAAGAACTGTTTGTTAAAAGTTAAATACCGTTAATGTAAATGTTGTTAAACGTTATTAAATTTATTAATATTTTTTCCGTTAATACTAATCGTTTACTAACTATCATTACTCTTCGGAATTTACTTCTGCCGGGACGCGTTTTTCTAACATTTTAATGCGTTGTTTAAATGCGGAATAAACCAATTTTTAATTGCGATGTAAGAAGTAAGCTAGAGAAACTTAATTCAAAATATACATAATATATTATAAAAATTAATGAAACAATAATGAGGCAGGGTGATGTACCGTGCAGTGAGCTATATGTTATGGAGAATGATAACGTGTGATAACAATACTGAATCAATAACAACACGCCGTGAGATAAGCTCGAAAAGTGTTTCCTGTGATATTAACCCAACACTGCTGACCTATTCACTAACGCTAATGGTCGCTTCTTTCAGGCCCGACCTTAAAAACTCCGAGAGAGTCGAAACCGTTAAAGTGGCGAGGTTTCCATTTTTTTTCGGAATAAATAGATTGCGTCTATTACACGTGAAACACAAGTGTATACCTCCTTGTCTTGTTTACGAGGTTTAGTCTCGTAAAACGTGACATCGTTTAAGACAATTGAATCACATCTTTATCTACATGCTTGCACGAATGCCATCGGCTAATTTGACTGACAGTACGGCTGAAAAAAAGCGGTTGCTATCGTTGTTCCATACACAATACACACGCGCGAAAGCCGATTATACATAGAGAATGAAAGAGGGAGAGAGAGAGAGAGAGGGGGAGCACAAGGCACAGAGAAAGAGGACGAGAGCGGGGTCGAGCATGTGAGTGAGTGAGTGAGTGAGTGAGTGAGTGAGAGAGTGCGTCAGTGCGGGAGTGAGTGAGTCAGAGAGCGAGCGAGTGGGTGAGTGTGTGAGTGAGTGCGTGGGTGAATGAGTGAGTGAGTGAGTGAGTGAGTGCGTGGGTGAATGAGTGAGTGAGTGCGTGGGTGAATGAGTGAGTGCGTGAGTGAGTGCGTGAGTGAGTGAGTGAGTGAGTGAGTGAGTGAGTAAGTTAATGAGTAAGTGTGACAGCGAGTAAGAGAGAGAGAGAGAGAAAGAGAGAAAGAGAGAGAGAGAGAGAGGGAGAGAGAGAAAGAGAAAGAGAGAGAGAGAGAGAGAGAGAGAGAAAAGCACAGCAACTGGATACATTTAATGGGGAAGTGGGGTACAATAGCAGGAAGATTATAACGAGTCTTGGAAAATAGTCTGAAAACTAATATATCTACTATGATGATTTCTACTATATAACCTATAGTAAAATCCATAACAATTCGCCAGTTCTACTCAAAGGGTAGTAGTCCTGGATCGGGGACGGGCTGTTATTCCAAACACCAATGATAAAAGAGAGAGAAATAGTAGAATATAGATGGGAAGGAGACAGGGAGAGAGAGCGAGCGCGAGAGAGAGAAAGAAAGAGAGAGAGAGAGACAAAGCGAGAGCGAAAGAAAGAAAGAAAGAGAGAGAGAGCGAGAGCGAGAGCGAGAGAGAGAGAGAGAGAGAGAGAGAGAGAGAGAGAGAGAGAGAGCGAACGAGAAGCAACGGCAATTACGGCCTGGCGATATTGATCAAGGCTGTGCTAGACATTCACTACGCCGTGCACCTGGCCGCAAGGAATAAATATGTTACATAATTTTTGACCTAGCATCGTACTGTCATGATCGAGAGATACGTTGTGTCAACGCATCTTAATGTATGCCGCTCGCTTCACTGCGACGCGCGCGCAACGCTTATTCCTTCTCTTCTCTCCTTTCTCTCTCTCTCTCCCCTCGCCCCCATTTTATCTATTTCTCATCGTTCCCTGTCCTGTCTCTTCGCTCCGCACTTCTTCTTACATTATTTCTCGCCCTCATTCTTCCGTGTCTTTTGCTCGTACTCTTTCTCTCCCTCGTCTATCGCCACACGTCGCGCCTCTCTTATATTTATTCTTTCTCATCGTTTCTCCTTGTCTCGCTCTGCGTCTCTCTCCTCCTCGTCCTCTCTCTCTCGTCTTCCTCATCTCCGCTGCGCGTCATCTCTCACATCTCCGTCACCCTTGCTCTCTCCCTCTCTCTCGTCAGCGCTCGCTCGTCTCCCACCTCCGCCCCCTCTCTCTGTATCTATCTATCAGCATCTTGCCCTCGCCTCCCTCTCTCTCTCTACCCGCTCTCGCGCTCTTTTCTTACGCGGCGCTAAAGAGCACGTCACTGTGATGCCGTCTCACTCACACGCACAGCCGACATCCCGCGCTGCCCCGCATCACGTCTAGACCTTCTAGACAGATTCGCCAAAACTCTCCGTTCACCACTTCATCACACACACGCGCTGCGCGGCCACCCATTCACCACACCGTCCATATACGATACGAAAAATTCCTCTTCCCTCAGCAGCCGAGTCAATCTCGCCTGCTGGTTGATCTTCGTTCCGCAGCGCACAACCACAGCCCGCTAAACCCTGAATATAAATCGCCCGAGCATAACCACCTTCGGTTATTATTTCTTATTCTTTTTTTTCCTTCGTTGTTCGCGCACAAACGCACTGGCTTCCGACTACGAGGTCTTATGCCTTCTCGCAATAGGGAGCGATTCCAATTTATTCTAGCGTCATATGGGCTTCCGCATATAACCTCTTTCATCCTAGACGACGGACAGGCGACAAATTCTCGAGGGGTCGGCCGTCTGAGACAATCGGCCCGTCTGAGCAGGTACCATCGCGTCTCCACATTTAATCCACCGCGGTGCGGCACGTGACCAGGCCAGAACATGTCCTCTGCTTATCTGTATGTGTGCGGTGCGTGAGGCTGTGTTTGCGTGCGCGAGTGTGTGTGGCGCTTCACGATCGTGTAAGACCGACGTTTACTCACAGCTGTCCGTTGGTGCAGGCGCATCGACCGCTCGTTACCGTGCGATGCGCCTTTAGTTATGCTCTTCTCCCTGGGTACTGCCGGCAACGGACCCGGGTACGGGTCCTGGTATACCGGAATCGTACGCTGGTATACTTATCTGAGTTATGTGTTAGGGTTTCGGGACCCGCTCAGGGTTAGGCTAGGGTTAGGTTGAGCGGTTAGGCGTTACGAGTTAGGGAGTAGCGGTAGGGCACTCCCTAACTCGTTAGTGGAGTAAGGCGAGTACGT